CTCACGTTCTTTATGTTCTTATAAACATTTAAGTTACTGGGAGAGATAGTCCTGTAATTGAATAACACTACAAAATTTATTCTTCCTTTCCTATCCTGTATCTGCTAAATAAGGATGTTTTTGAAATGTGACTGTAGCCCACACATCATCTTGGCTGGGCTTCCAGCAGAGACGTCTAGCCAAGAGCTCTAAACATAGCTGCCATAGGTACTGCTAGCATCCTAGCCCAGGAGACAAAGCTGAGTGAAAATGGACCTACCAGGTATTTACCCTGTTCCTTGGACAACTCTTGTAACCCAGGAAGATGCTGCTGCGGTTGGATCTCTGCTGGTATGTAGGTAGCTCGGATATTTCTGCTGTGCACTGGGGGCACATCAGGGTAGATCAATCCTATGAAGCAAATGGGTGTGTTGTATGAGACCCAATTTTATTGAAAATCATTAATTTTTATGTGTTGATAGCTAATGAAATATTCATCGGTACGGAGAAGAGCTTTGAAGTCATTGCACGTATAAGCAATACATCTTCAGCTCTCTGATTTGCCTCTTGCCTTCCGCTGCTTTGCCCCGGGGACTGGCAGGCGCACACGCGACCTGGCGCATGCCACCTCCAACGCAGGAGGGGCGGGCGAGCTGTGGTGATGCTTGTCGGTAGAGCAGCTCACCAGTTCCTTATCTTTCCCCACAGCACAGCCCTGTGCTGTGACATGCAAAAGTGGGGCTGCCCGCAGGGCTCGGTAGCAGCTTTGTTGATGGTAGTGACCACTGCTCAGGAAAGAGTGGAGTCGCACTGGGGTCTTCCGAGCTCTGGACATCTCCTCCAACAACACACCGCAGGGTGGGGGAAAGCAGCCTTTCCTCCTCTAACTGCATTTTAAAAGAAGAATGACACTCTATTGCTGTTTCGTAAGCAACAGGATAGGTGTTTCCTTTGGAGGATAGTTCAGGGCAGCAAATCCCAAGTGGAGGCAGGCATCTCCTGGCAGTGCTGGTTAGGGTATGGGGGTCCCAGAAGGAGGTGAATTTAATATCCCTTCATTTCTCTGCTGCCAGCCCAAGGTCACCCCCTCCTAGCTTGGCTGGGTTTCCCCGGGGCCCAACCTTCCCAGATGCTGGCCATGGCGCACTGGCACTCAACCGAGACGTTGCTATGGAGGTAGGCAGTAGGAAACAGGTTTGCAACACTCAGGCTTGTCTTACGAAATCAGGTTTTACCCTTAACTCTCATCCCTTGCAAGCACAAAGCACCCCGAAAAGTATGAGCAGGTGGGTTGTGTTGCGTCTTTTAAACTCTGTTGTAGTTTACTCTTCTGGACAAGACTTTAATTCCCATTTCTAGGCGATCTTACTCTCCTCAAAGCTTCAGTAAGCCTGTAAATAACAAGGCATAATAAAGTCCTGATTAAATGAATAGTCTGCTTAACTTTTGGTTGATTTTGTCTGAAAAGTCATATATAGAGAGATTTTCTTAAGTGTGTACAAGTGAGACATAAGGTGAAACTCTCCCCTAGTACTGTACCACACAACTGCCTTACAGACAGTAGGTCTATGCCAAATTTACACCAGTAGCCAAAGCTGGCAGGGAAGGGTTTGTCAAATGTATCAATTGAGTTTCATGCCTAGACATGATCAAGGGCCAAAAACTGTGCCTCCTCTAAGAAATTTTCTAAAGACAACTTAAAAATTATGTTTAAATGTGCATCATTTAGTTGACCTTTACACAGGACTCTGCAGAGAACTGGGACAAGCCAATGTGACAAGCTGATATGAATTTCTTTGATAAATAAGATTTATAAAGTGATCAAAACCTCATCTGAAAGTGAAGCTTGATGTGTGAAATACACTGTTAAATGGCTGTTTGATGCTTTCTTGATTTTAGGACTCATGCAAATTAATGCATGCATGGTGGAGAGGTCATTATGGACTCTGACACATCATTTCAGGAGTGTACTAAGCTGTACAGAGTTGCATGTGCCTTTCATTCTGAGATGTTTGGCGTGAAGAGTACACCAATTCGTTTGCTAAACGTCAAAGCACAATGTGTAGCAAATCATACTGTAAAGCAATGCAAACCACTTGTTAGTGAACAGCCTGTTTTGCCTGCCACCAAGTGAGTATGTCAGATACGAATAGTTCCCTACTTGTTCCCTCACTAATCTGAAACATCCCTTTTACCACTGAAGAGCAACCCTGGAATGGAAATGCATAAATACAGGGCCACAGCACTTAGCTGAAAGGGGGTTTTGGAGTATCATATGGTGGACGATCATGCATAACCTAGCTTATCAGGCAGAAAATAGGATAGAAGGGTTCCCCTTGGTGTATAAGAGGAAAACTTGCATGCTTAGATCTCAACAGTCCATGAAATTTGGGGTAAAAAAGGGGAGTGACACACAGAGATAGTAAAGCAAAAAGAGCTAGTTCTCTAATGCAAAACGGCAGTTTAAAAATCACAACAGGCCAAGATGACTTTGTATATCTAAATACATAGGTCAACTTCAATCACTGTGACAAGTGCATACAAGTTTGCCCAGCCAGTGATTCAAATGGTGTAACTGAGGCAAGTTTGAACCTAAATCCATGCCTGACGTGCATGTGGAAACAGATCGAGGGAAGGAGTTAAACAGAGCAGTGTCCAAGCCTGAACTTTTGTGCCTGCTGATAGATAAATAAATAAATGCCTCAAATAGCCATTTCATTGAGACCCAAGAAAGCAGTTGCTCTGCTTTGCTGGCGCTAACCCTGAGCAATTGATAAGGCAGAAGCAGAGCCCTGATAAAATCTCCATTCCACTATTTGCAGGCTTGGGAAAAAAGGCACTTTGAATGCAGGCTAGTGCCAGTGGTGTAGTATCACCGGGAGCCTCTCACGCAGTGTCTGCAGAGAGGTCTCACCGTCAGAGGAGAGTCTCCGAACCTCGCAGGTCTGTGGTGGGAGCTCAGCCTGGGGAGGAGAAAGAGCAAATGGCTACTCTCGGGAAGAGAAACTAATGCAAAAAAAGGAGGAGGAAAGGCAAAAGTCTTTTAAGAGAACTGAAGAAGTTGGTCTTGGAATCACTTCTAGAAAAAAGAAAAAATATAGATTAAAATGAGAGTAAGACATTTTTTAACATGAAGAAAGAATCGGAAGGCAAGACAGGGAAAGAAAATGGAACTGGAGAGGTGCAGAAACACATAGGAGAACAAAAGAAAGAAAGAAGGGGTAAGCAGAAGGCAGATAGCAAGTAGAAAACACCAAAATGTGTTCATTTTTTGACCATTGTTAGAACTGATTGCCAGGGTTGGAACTAGGAGGGGAAAGAAAGAAAAAAAATTTGTAAGCAGTAGAGACGTTAAAGACAGCCACATCATTTTTCCTATGCAGGAAAACATCAGAAAAGTATTGCCATCAGATTCTCCATTCTTCTTGACAGGGTTGTGGCAGGGTGGATGGGTGGTTTGCAACATCATGAAAGACAGAGCTGCAGGAGCTTTTGTCAGATACAAACAGGCACAGCATGTTAATGGCTGAAAAAGGGTTCAACAAAGCTCTTAGTCTGCCCTTCCCTTCCATTTCCATTCTCTAACAGCTGGAATCACAGCCAATGTTAACAAACCTTAACTCTTGCCAGCTAGAGTGGCATGAGATGTCACAATCAGTATTTGCTTTGAGATTACAAGCAAAACAAATTTGTCTTCCTGTAATCATTCTCCATAAACCTTTCACTAATACTTTGCTGAAAGTAAATGTCATTAACTATTTTTTTATTAATTCTTGTTTGTTTTGTTAAACAATGTCAAGAACAATAGAACAGATTAGATGATTGACTGTTGTATTACTCTTGTTTATCCGGTACTCTGTTTGCCCTTAGAAGCACCCTAAACTCAAGGCACTAATGTCTGAAATACCGGTGTGGAAAACACAAAGCTTTTTCCTCCTACTAGATGTACAGCTTCAGCTTTAAATTAAGGTCACACCGCTTTTGAGGAAAGAATCTGTGGGAGAAACACTTACATGATGTAACATAGTCTGTTATGGGACTTATGCTCAGGTCTCCCTTTTCAGAGTCACTTTAAAATACCAGATCAGATGGTTTTGCTCCATGAGGTGCAGATGCTTGTTACATTTCTGCACTTGCTGGGCATTTCCTGAATCGCCTCACAATTAACAGTGGGGGTCCTGGCCTGCATTACCAAATGGTGCCAGTGGCCACCAAACAAAATAAAAAGGAGATGCTTCAGTGGTTGGTGCTGGGGGACTGGTAGATCACAGCAGGTACCATGTTTCGGTCACTAACACAGACACCAAGAATATGAACATCTGTGTCTGGGCCAGTAGACTAGCCTTCCTTCACAGACAATGCAGAGAAACACAAATGCCTTGAGCACAAAGCATCTGAGATTTTGGGTATCCACTTTAAGCTGTTCTGAACTGTGTTTTAAAAGTGCTTGTGTCTCTCTGTGAAAGTAGTCTCGGGTGGTCACCAAAGGTGTACAAATCTACACTGGTCAGATGAGTCCTCTCCTAGAGACCAAACATGGCGGTTTTATGATGACTGGTGAGTGAGGTGGGTCCTCAGCGACTGATCATCATCCCAGTTTGAATGATGTTGCACTTTGAAGAGAAAGGCCCAAGGCTGCCCCAAGGCAGAGCCCAACCCAACACCCAAGCTTCTGTTCCAGGGGTGAAGGTGGTGGTGGAGGGCTCTCCTTCCAGCAGCCTTTGCCTCATGCAACGTGCAGGCCTGTATCTACACACAGGCTAGCACAGGGAGACCAACAGCCCATCAACAGGGCTTAGGCCCAGACCCCTCATCTTCCAGGTGGATCATGAGGATTGACAAAATTTAACTGCTGGTTTGACCTGTGTTGAGAAAGGGAAAACAGGGAGGAAAAGTTCAGTGTTATGATGCGCCTTACACGTTCTTGCTTTCAATCTGTATTGACAAAGAAGATGTTTATCTCTGTCCTTTCTTCTCCCCCCAACACTGCCTGTACATCACCGCACCTGGCATCACCCAAGGAAACCAATGAGAAAAGAAGAGAACGGAACCAGTCGGGCTGAATATGCAATGACCTCCTCCCAAAACAACAAAACAGTTGATAACAATGCGGTCGTATAATCCCGGAGACCCCGCCGAGGCGCAGGAGGTGGTAAACTTTCAAAGCACACACACAGAGTATGCAAGGTGGGTGAAATAAGGCGGCAAAAGGAGCTCTGTGGCCAAGGACTTCATTTCAGAAATAGCGCACGCATCAGTGATTCAGAAGAGAAAAGCAGGCTGCTCTTCAGGCTTGCTGCTTCTCCAAGGGAGGATAAACTCGCCCACCTGGGCTGCCCGGAGGAAAGGTCTCACAAAGGCATAAGCATTGCATGCTGCATCTCGTGAAAGCGATGTCGCGATGCCTCCTGCTTCGTCTTCTTCCTTCTCTTCCCCCCCACTTTTCCGTTTGAATTGAGTGTCCAAAACCAGCTGCTTAAGTAGGATCTTTCGAGGAGAAGGTGATCTGCCAGAGTGGCAGCAGCTTATTATAAGTGGGTCTGAGGGTCGTGGGTAGGAGGTGTCACCTACATGCTTCTCCAGCCTGTGCAGTTTTGTATGCTTATACTTCATTCTTATCATTCTTATTATTTCATGATTAAAAAGGGAAAAAGATTTCTGTTAAGCCATCAAGCAACCAAAAATTGCATGAACTTGTGACTTATCCCAGAAAATTCACCTGCAGTCTGGTGACTATGCAATTTCCATGGCTGAAGACTTTTCAGGCAAAAGAAATCAAAATGTAAGATTTTAGCAATTAGCATTGCTATTGAAAGAGAGATATTATTACGAGGTGCTTTGAACATTATTACTTCATAATCAGCTTCCTTTTTTGCATCACACTTTATTTTTTACCTTTAAAAAGTTCTGCCTTTGTGAAATTCTACACGTTTCTCTGTGTTTGCATCACACTGATTCCCCAGGGAAACCCCTACAGGAAAGATGTTCTTTACATCTTGTCATGAGTATTTGGGCGGGATTGTGTTGCAAGGACTAGCAGCCCTTTGAAGTCCTCTTCATTCACTGATTAGTGTTGTTTCCTGAAAGCGTCGAGTCTCCTGAACTGACCCACCGAGGACATTGTAGGTCTAGCTTAGAGGACTGCTTTTGAGGGTCTGGTAAGCTGGTTGTGCCCAAGTTAACTCAGTCTCTGCCTCTCCTGGGCAGAGACTGCCAATTGTGCCAAATTCGGCGTAACAGCTTAGTGTTGTACTTTCCGTGACGTGGATTGCAGACTACTTAAAGCAAAGTGGAATCCACCCAAATTCATTTCACATAGGATCTCAGGTTAGACTCAGTAAGTAACCCTTAGGATAAAGGCGATGAGACTAGCCGAGGCGCTGGTCTTTCCCCCCCTCCTGAAAACCTTCCTTCATGTCACACCTCCACATGTACATCTCCGTTTACCTCTGTGCTGAAAGTAGTGATGCAGTGAAAGACAAATTTCCACCCTGGCTTCTTGTCTGGACGTCAAGCTTCCATACCACTCGGGATCTGTGTCTGTGAGTAACTCCCAGGCACCGACCCAGTCTTGCTCCAGGACGTGGCTGTCCCCCGGCCGTCACGTCCCTTGGCACTGCAACACACCGATGCTTTCAGTTTTGTGTAAGGATGTGCCTGAACTGCAGAAATCAGACCTTGATTTTGAACGCATTGCCGTCTGCGGTTGATCTATCGCCGGGATGTAGAGTTTGGGCTGATGGCAGAGGAAGACGATGCTCTGCAGACCTTCCCTGAAAAGCTCTGGGATGTTCAAATCAGGAGTTTCAGCTCAGGCCCATCTCTAGTTTTCTATTACCTATTGAACAATAGGGTGTATGTAAATATAAATATCTTTTCAATGATAAAATGAAATGCTGCTATATACTGCTGTTGAGGAATTTATGGAGTTATTCATTTAGCTTTTTAGCCTGTCATCACTATGTAGAAGTTTAGCTACATGAAATTATTTTTTAAAGGCTAGACTTTCTTGAGAAGTGAATGCAATTACAAAAGTGAAAGGGAATAAGTAACCCTTTGCCCAGGAGTGCGATCGTTCCCTGCCATATTCATGTTGTGTGCTTGCACAAGACACAGTGATATGTTCTTAGATCCAAAGTGGGATTAAAATGACACAACTTACACTTTGAGTCTAGTATCCCAAATGTTGATTGCCTAAAGCACTTAGCCCCTAAATACTATAATAAAAATATTGCAAGTATATTTCTAGAATATTTTTTAAGCGATAACATTTATTTTGGCGTAGTTACCTATGTTTGCCTTTCTTTTTTTACTCCAATTGTTTCTGCCTAAATGTGGCATAGTTTGAGACTGGTTGCATGTTTAGCTGAGAGTATAAAGTATGAATGCAGATGAGTTTAGCATGATACAGGCTCAGGATTAGCACTTTCTCCTCAAGGTTGTTGATTTTACTTATTTCCTAGTACAGCTTTAAAAGCATGTTCTGTAAGGCCAAAATCACAAAAGGGATTTGTAACCCATTATGTCCATCAAAATGTGTCTGGTTTTGCAAGAGAAAGTCTAAAGAGATGGTCATCGAACACTGTCTGATTTTCAGTGATGTCAATGGTGAAGTGTCCTCACTAGAGAAGACCCTGATGCATGACATAACCTATGAGCAAACCCACCCCAGGACTCCTGAGGTCTCCTCAGGAGAAAATAAACATTAAAAACTGGATGGAGAGCGGGGAGGCAGGGCATTTCAAGGAGCAGCACGTGAGGACTAGGGTCTGTTTTTAACTCTGCCACCGATCTGCTGTTTACTAGCAAGTAATTTTGCCTCTCTGTGCCTCAATTTACCCATCTGTATAATCAAGATAAAAATCCTTACCAGCTCTGTGGCAGTATTTTCAGAGATATAGATGCATCCTGTTTGCATAGGCAGATTTACACTATCATTATATGCAACATGCTGATACTAAATAAACGTATTTGGGCACATCACCGCCATGGTATTTCAAAAACAAACATTCTCCAATGTGTTTCTTTAATCCGTTGGCTGCAGAAGAGTGGCAGCAGACGGGCAGAGAGCTGCTCTTCTCCTTGCCCAGAGCCTTTGCTCTCAGCGCTCGCACAGCTGCACGGCGGGGAGAGGTGGGAAATCCTGCACGGGGTAGTTTTGCCATTGGATTCCTGCCCATTGAACTATAGTTGACTACATTGTACCAAAATTTAAGGTGATCTTCGAAAAAGCTCTTGGAAAAGTACACTGGAAGGAGAAGTCTTCAGAAAGGAGAGGCCAGAAAGGCAGTGTCATTGGGGAAAGATTTCTGAAGTTTTCTGATGGGGTTTAAGGTTGTGTTTAACACTCTGCAGACTACTTGCAAAGCTTTTATGAAAGAGGCTTCTGTGCTTCCTTATTGTACTATAATTGAATACAAAGGGAAAGGAATAGGCTTGATGGATAAGGGCCTCGCTAAGCAGTGACCCTGGATCTGGGGAACTGGCAATCCAAAATACAGCTTTACAAGCATTTTGGGTTTATTTTTAGCCACCAAAATATCAGGCATAGCAAGGTCCTGCATAGCTCCGTTCACAAAATAGCCAGATCCCAGGCAGATGCAAAGGTGGCCAATTTCTACGCAGAAGGTAACTTCTGTGCTCTGACCACCACCAGACAGACCCAGAAAACTGCTGTGGTCAGTCTGAGCAAGATCATCAACTCAAAATTTCTTCTGAAGGCTCACCACTAGCAGACGCAAGCAAGGAATGCACTTTAAGGGCCCAAGCTGAGAAGTGTTGAGTTTCCTCGGTCCTCAGCAGTGCCGGCAAGGTGGAGCTGAAGCCTCAACCCTGCCGCCCTGCCGGGCTCAGACCCGACAGTGGTGTGACCAGGAAAGCATCTCTACCTTGGATAGATGCTGCAAAAACAGACATGGAAGGAACGAGGAGAGTTCTACTAAGTATAAGATATAAATATATTGATATATATCTATACAGAGACCTAATTGTCCAGTCTTGCATGCCATATGGTCACAGCATGTGAAGCGAGTGTGGGCCTCCTGCTCCAGCCAGGTCATGCCCAGAGATGCTGCCAAGCAGTGGAGAATCAGGCCTATGGTAGATATGTATTTCCAATACTCCCTGCACCTGTACAAACAAAAATATATTATTTTAAACTGCAAAATAGTGTGTTTAAATCAATGCATGAATGTAAATATTCTAAGATCTGCCTTCTTGACTGTGTACCACATGTACAGATGAAAACGAATATTGTTTATAGGAAATCTGTATCAGTGGTTAAATGACTAAAGAGAAAAAAAAATATCAGAATTAATGTTGTCATGTTTCTCAAACAAGCCATTAATATATATTTAGTATTTAAGGATATTGCTCAATAAGTATGTTCCGTACCAAAAACTGTGTTGCATATACAGATTGTGCAGTACCCTATTTTAAAAAGGCACCATAATTAATTTTTATTTTAAATAAAAATGTACTTGTAAAAAGTTTCCTGTGTCCTGTCGCTTATGTAGCTGAGAACAGAGTCTACACGTTGAAGAGAAATGCTGAAGTGAGGAATTTCTGCAGTGCCGCTTCAGGCACTTCTCTTACTGCCCAAATTAACCCTGCTTGCTTTGACACTTTCTGTTCGGGTTTGGGAGAAGCCCGTGGCTGCGGCTCGTGCCTGTGTCTGGCTGGGTTCTGGTTCTGTCTCATCTAACCCTGCAGTTTTAGTCCCAGATACGTGCACTGCTGGTGTTTCGTAAATGCAGGAATTACACTTGTACATTCCTGCAGCCCTCCAAAGCTCAAGAAACCCCTTATCTTTATGCCAGAGGTTCTGCAAGTTTCCCTAACAACATACTGTCGTTTTAGAGCGATTTTTTTTATCTTTTGCGTAATAATCCATACCTCTGTTTATTCCGTGTAAGAGATAAAGTGCACTGTTTTATACCCTAACGTCCCATGTGGACTTCACCCTCCCTTTCTCATGCAAGAGCAAAAGCAAATTATGGACCAGTCCTTCAACAGAGTGACACTGATTTATCGTAGCTAAACCCCGATGCTTGGGCCGGGGCTCACCCCTCACAGCTGTACGCCTTTACCCGTCAGGGGTGAAGAACACAGTCGGAGTGAGG